TTAGGTTACGGTCGTTAGTAGTAGTAGGGTCGGGGGGGGGGGGAGGAGTAACGTGGGATGGGGAAAGGGGCTATTTTACATCCTAATTTTAAGGGATACTCTCTTTATTAAGGTTTTGTATATAAGTAGTAAATATAGATAGAGAATATAATTTTTAAGAAACCTATAGAAAAATGGTAAATAAGTTTCTATTATAGTATAAGTAGGTAAATTTCCCAAAGCTATACATATGGCATTGAAAATCAAAGTAATCCACGTTCAAGTCGTCAAAATATATATTTTCATCAAAATTAATGAAGAGAAAAGAATAATACCGGAAAAATTAACTCAAATAGTCGTTCATCTAATCTCCTAAATTAAAAATAGCTGACTGATATATAATATATATGTATGATTCAAATATAATATGCGTATAACTATGTATAATATGTGGGATTTTACTGGGTATGTTGTTGTTGTATGTATAATCTATGTATAATCAATGTATAATATATATATATATATATATATATATATATATATATATATATATATATATATATAGAGGCTAAAAAGAGTTACTAGTGAAATGACAGGCTATTTGTGTAACAATCCCATTTTTATCATGTTTGATAGAGCCCACTTTCCCAAAAATGATTGGGACTTTTACATAGCTATACATTATTGGAAACTTTATTACTCTCCCTACTCAAGTTTCATTTTAATTACCTCCTATATACAAAATTACCAATTATGTACATTTTTAGGATTTAAGGATAAGTAATCAATTCCTATATTTAAGTAACGTACAAATCCCACTCCCCCCACGTTTCTCTCTCTGTATCCCACTCCTCCACGTTTCTCTCTCCACATCCCAACCCCCTCCCCCACGTATCTTGCACAAGAGAGCAGCAATTCCACCATTGACAACCATTAAAAAGATTTGAAACTTTGAATTCGAATTTGGGTTTTCAAAAAAAATATTATTTGTTTGAATTGGGTGTTGTTGCAAATAATTGAGGATATGGTTTGGAGTTTATATCTCAATTTTGAGGGAGTTTTAGTGATGATTAGACCTGATTTTGGCTGAATTTCAGATTGAAACTCGAAGAAGAAGAAGAAGAAGAAGAAGAAGATATGTCATACATTATACTTACGAAATTGTGGTAAAATTATAGTAAAATTGTATTATATTGTCTATATATATATATATATATATATATATATATATATATATATTATTTAACTATTGTATGAAAGTTGAAAAATATTGTATAAAAATTATATTTAAGTTGTATATAACTGAGTAGAAATAATGTATGAAAATTGTAGATAAGTTGTATAATATGTAATAAGTTTTATGGAATTTCTTTTTACTATGTATAAATCAGATACAAAATATACAAAAGATATATTGTATAAAATTTGTATTAAAATTATATTTACGTGGTATGATATCGTAGTTGTATATAACTGAGTAGAAATAATGTATGAAAATTATGGATAAGTTGTATAATATAAAATTAATTATATGAAATTTGTTTTACTATGTATAAATCAGATACAAAATATACAAAAAACACATTGTATAAAATTTATATAAAAATTATATTTAAGTGGTATGATATTTGTACAAAACATAATGCATTATGTTTGAGAATTGTACTAACTTTAGTCAAACAGTGATGACAAATCATCTATGCATCGTTGATAGCCTCGTGGCAGTGTGCATTGAGTTTAAGGTTTGTACTTAATTTCATTTAACAGTGATGAGATACCATCATGCACAGCCTGGTGGTGTTGTGCTTTACGTTTAAGATATTTTTTCTTAGTTTAGATGAACAATGATGGGATATCGTCCTTTTGTGATAATTGTTTACTTCAATGTCGTGTATTTTGTGCATTGAGTGAATGATTTGTGCTTATTAGTGGAACAATTGTGGAATGATTTCTGCTACTTTCATCTCCTAGATATGTGAGTTCTTAACTGGCCAACATTCCGTCCCATACAACATGGCCGATCTAACCATCGCTTTATAAAATTTACCTTTGAGTATCGGTCCGAGATGCGAGGGGAAAACTTTTGTTTAACATTTCCGGAAAGACCACCTATTTCACACAAGATTCCATTTGTTAACCTCCATTTCATTCACCTCACCCTTATACGGTGTGTGATATCCTCGTCGATCTCCCCATCCCCTGGATAACCAACCCAAGGTACTTGAAACTGCCTCTCTTGGGGATGACCTGTGATCCAAACCTCACGTCCAAGCCCACTTTCCTTGACTCGGTGCTAAAGTTGCACGCCAGGTATTCTGTCATAGTCATGCTAAACTTGAAACCCTTAGACTCAAGGGGGCTGTCTCCAAACCTCCAGCCTCTCGTTAACGCTGCCTTGCGTCTCATCAATCAGGACTATGTCATCAGCGAACAACTTATACCATAGCACCTCTCCTTGAATATGGTGTGTTAGTGCGTCCTTCACCAGGGCAAATAAGAACGGGCTGAGCGCAGATCCTTGGTGTAACCCCCATAACAACCAGAAAATGCTCTGAGTCGCCTCCCATTGTCTTAACCCGAGTTTTAGCTCCATCACACATGTCCTTAATCGCCATAATGTAAGCAATCGGTACACTTTTTACCTCCAGTCATCTCCAAAGAAGCTCCCTTGGGACCTTGTCATAAGCTTTTTCCATATCAATGAACACCATGTGCAGATCCTTTTTCCTTTTCCTGTACTGTTCCACCAACCTCCTTATAAGGTGGATCGCTTCCGTAGTCGAACGACCCGACATGAACCTGAACTGGTTGCCGGATATAGACACTGTCCTCCTCATCCTCACTTTTACTACCCTCTCCCAAACTTTCATAGTACGACTTAGTAACTTGATACTCATATAGTAGTTGTAACTCTGGATATCACCTTTGTTCTTGTATAACGGTACCTCTGTACTCCACGTCCGCTCATCCAACATCCTCTTCGTCCTGAAAATAACATTAAAGAGCGCAGTCATCCACTCCAAGTTTGCTCTACCCACACACCTTCGGAATTCTACTGGAATTTCGTGTGGCCCGGTTGCTCTGTCCTTACTCATCTTACGCAGAGCCCCCACGACCCCCTCAACCTTAATGCGCTTACAATACCTAAAATCTCGGTGACCCTCAGAATACCCTAATTCACCCAACACAATATTTCGGTCCCCTTTTTATGAAAGTAGGTATGCCATCTCCGCTTAATCTGAGCCTCTCCCATCAACGCTCTATCGTTGAAATTTATGTCCAAATTTAATTTCGGCTATTGTAGTTTGATTTTCACTAACAAATCATTATTTTCATAAATTTTTTGTTCAGTTAAAATTTATGTCCAAACTTAATTTCAACTTTTGCAAAATTTTTCAACTTGAGCTTCAAATATTCTATTTTCATTGTATTTGCTTTTTCCATACTAGAGTCCTGTCATTTTTGTGATGGAATATCAGTGATGTCAGACAACATGCCCAAGTGACAATGATTTAATTAAACATGCTTACTATATGCTCTCCTAAATATCAAATTTTAATTTCTTTTAAATTATACATTAACTAGTAGTGTAATTTTTATTAGGCACTAAAGATATTTCTAGGAGTAATTGTGCCTAAGAAATTTATAATTTTAAAAAAAGAACCAAAGAGTAAAAAAATGAGAGGTAGAAAAAGGGTAAAGAAAAAAGAAAAAAGAAAAAAGAAATAACCTGATGACTTTCCAACATAGGGTCCCACACCGTAGTTGATGCCAGCATATCGTGATGACCTTCCAACATAGGGTCCCGCACCCTAGTTGATGCCAACATAACCTTATAATTTTTCAACATAGGGTCCCACTCCCTAGTTGTTGCCATCATATCTTGATNAAAGAAAAAAGAAAAAAGAAAAAAGAAAAAAAAAAGTGAAACAGCCGTTTCTTTAGACACGTTGCATTTCTTTTTCATCAAAGAGAAAAGAGAATCAAAAAATTATACTAAGTGCAGAAACACAAAGTGGTGACACATTTCACATTCTCATATTTTTCTCTGAATTTTCTTGATCCTACCGCTCTAACTCCTCTATACCATTCAACCCCAAAAACCCCGTATTTTTTTTTTGGTATTTTTTTTTCACCATTGATTTTCTTTTTTGGGTAAAAAATTGTTAATCTTGTTATATTTTTCTTTGAACAGATATTTAAAGTTGGTTATGGGAAAAAGAAAGAGAAAAGCTGACCTCAACAAGACTCCTCCTCCTTCAGGTATAATACCTTATTAATGCTTCTTATGGTTTTGATTTTTTTTCTTTCTTCTTTTTGTTTTTTATTGTGAGTTTTTGGCATTTGATTGTTGATAAGCCTTACATGTTGTAATTTATTGTGTTTTATTACAAAGCAATTTTATTGATCCTACAAGAGAAGGGGATGCATAAAAAAAATTTAATTTATTTATTGAGAAATGAAGTGGTGGTGGTGGTGGTGGTGGTGGGGGGGGATGAGGTTCCGGTCTTAGCGGAGGCAAAAAATATGGGGTGATTTCTTCTCATTTGCCTAAGTCTTAGTCGGCCGAGTTATTCCTTATTGGGAGATAGAAGGTACGAACTGGAATAGTTGAGGTGCGTGCAAGCTGTGACCCGTATATCACCATCATTAGAAAAACTAAAAAATGGGATGCTAGTAATTATCATTATTTTATACCACCTATACCATTTTCTTGCCGCAAACAAAAGTATGGTATTTAAGTGGAGAAGTGTAGAGGAGTGGACCCGTTATCTATCGAGTTTCGAACCATGCCCCACTAGCCCTTGGGCTTTGTCTTATTCAAAATAAAATACCACCAACATCATGTTGTTGTAGTTTTTGTTGTTATTATTATTCTTTTTTGTGTTAGAAGTGTTGGGGAATGTTGTGCACCAAAATTGGACGGTGCCATGGCGATAGTTTGGTGACAAGTGAAGAGTGGTTTCTATTATTAGAAAAAGCTTATTGCTTTTCTTTTATTTTTGCAACTTTTTATAACCTGATTGCTTGTGGAACATATCTTGGTTCAGTCTTATGAATAATCTAATCACCTTTTGTTGGAAGGTTTAGCTTCTATCAAACTTTGGTGTCCTGAGTTTGGTGAATGGAAGTTAGTGGAAGGTTCTGTTTCCCAAAGTTCGAGTAGTTGCCTTTTTATGATTTTTTTATGACGATGGTGTCTAGGCTTGACCTTGTGTTCTTGATGATCATAGTGGATTGAATATGTGAAAGTTGATAAACTTTGTTGAGGCATATGACTTAACTGTAAAAATATTTGACAAGTTGTTAAAAGTTATCATCTGATCGTTGGAAGCATATTATGGTATAGGTGTTTTAGAATTTAGTCGTGGCTAAAACTCAATGATTGCCAGTGTAGTTGTTGTCTGTTTATTATCTTTCCCACTGATATATATTCTGATACTTCTGAAGCGAAATTTTATAACTCAAGATGGGATAGCCGACTAGCGTAGATTAAACTTTTTTCTTTCTTATGCATTAATTGACGAATAAGGTTGCCATCCTTTGATTTTTGTTACGTGTAGCCATGTTTGAGATCGTCTTTTGTTTCTATTGAAAATTAAAATATTTTATGCGGTTAACGATAGAATGTAATCTAGATTCATTTCGTATCTACGGTAGTCGTATAGAATAGCATTGAGAATATTTCCAACAATTGTGTTACAATTAGGAATCCAGCAATTAAGAAAGCCTCCTTATCCTCCTAGTGTCCAAATCAGCTTGTATACACCTCGACTGGTATATCAAGTAGCTCACTATAGCCTACAAGCATAGGTCGAGGGAATCTGCCTTTCAAAGCTGAAGCTATGGAGATTTGGTCTTTGGCTTTTTACATTGCACGTGTTCAAGCCTAAGTTGCCTGCTTTTCTTCTATTTGAACAGGATTTTTTCTTATATAGAAGCTTTCTTACATTACAGTGGGAGTTTTTATGAGAGATATTAGCCTGACATAAAAAATTTAGGAGTGATTTTTGTTGTCTCTGTATTCTATTCCTCAGTTCCCTGCCCCTAACTAGCGAAAGGAAATGTATGTTTTAGACTATTCACTCCTCTTCTATATTAAGTTTCCTGGAGAAATGACAAGTGAATCATGATTGAAACTTTAATGGTTGCAGACCTGATGCCACCCTCACCCGGAATGGATGCATTATCAAAACAGGTTCTCTCGTTTCTCCATCTCATAACGAAATTCAGTAATTTTGGCTTGTTTTCTTTCTAAGATATCATTTTTTGCATTGAGGAGCAGAAATTCTCTCGTCAAGTCAACAATAGTGGAATGAAGTCTTTCTTATCCATTGCGGATATCGTAGATGGTCCTGTGAAGGTAACACAAGGCCAACAATCATCTATTGTTCACCGTCGAAATATTGACATTCTAAAGTCTTTGAGGCATCCCCGTCACTATGGCCGCCATTATTCTCGACGGAGGTCTGCTGCTAATGCTGAGGCATCAGCTTCCCACGGTGGTCATACGCCTTCTTATGATGAGAAGTTGTCCTTAAAAATGGCAAGCAAATGCTATTCAGATTCTAGACATGACACAGGTGCACCTTATGTCCTTTATTTCTTTAACAGTATCACTTATTCTTTTAATCGAGATTTCATACAAATACCGAGTAGTTTCAAGTGAAAAATTGTGCTCATGGAGGCCGAGTCCTTTCCATGATACAAGGCAAGAGGTAATTCTAATAGAAACTCGGAGGCAGATCCAGGATTTGATGTTTATGTGTTCCTACAGTGACCTCGAGTTAATATAAACTTAATAACTGAGTACAAAGTCAAATATTTATAGATATTTAGTAGATTTCCTAGTTCATATACAGGATTCGGGCAAAAGCTACTGGATTCATGTGAACCCCCATATGTTACTATGTAGATTCGTCTATGTAGAAACTCAATGTTACATCATAATGAGAATTTCTCTTTTCCTTTTTGTATCTGTCTAGCATAATTCTATTATGTTTCTGTTAAATCTACTTTAAAATTAGTGCTTGAAGCACATCTTTTGATGCTCTTTCCAACATCTCGCTTGACGTTCCTTGCATTCTCCGGTCAGAGAATAGGCAAAGAGCAGTTCACAAACCAGAAGGAGCTCCATCCAGTTCATTGGCGACGAGGGTGATATCATCCGCTGCGGGAAAACTCTTTTGTGTATTATGCCAGAAGTTTCTGAAGGAGGACCCTTACATCATGCTTGAAAACAATTTACCTGTAGGCGAGACGTGCGTGGTGGCAGTTTTAGCTTGTGGTCATCTTTACCATGGTGATTGTTTGGAACGGAGAACAAACCGTGAAGATAGACAGGATCCACCCTGTCCAATTTGTCTCGGCTTGGTTTCTCAGGTTGATGCTTCAGTAGAACAAGAGTAGGTCAGCTTTTGTGCCTGGATACCGATAATCTTTTTGGAGATTAGATGTATTTAGAGGCAAATGTAGCCGGTTGAGCGATTAAGAATCATCTAGAGAGTTACAAGCTTTGTACATGATTTTCAATGTTTTTTTATGTGCAAATATATTATAGGAAAGAGTTGAAATGATAATGGCATCATGTATGGGGGGCTTTTCTTCTTCACAATGTAAGACTGGTTGGTTCTTGCTACTAGATCAATGTCCATGTATATATTTTCCAGCTATTGGGTGGATCTATTTGATTATGCATGTTTTTAAGCGCCTGGGGCTTTGGATCACTGGTAACAGCGCAACGCATGATGTGTAGATTAAGTGCATTTCGAAACAAAAACTCGGTATTCAAGTGGAGAAGGTAGAGCGGCGGATCCATTATTCATCTAGTTTCTACCTGTGCACCGGCTGGCCCTTGGAGATTTCTTTTTGTTAACTATGTTTTTTAGCATTGAACTTTTGATAAAGTGCACGTCGTAAGTTCGAATCGCGGATCCGTTATTCACCTAGTGTGTAACTGTGCGCCGGTTGGCCCTGGGAGATTTCTTGGTTAACTATGTTTTTTAGCATTGATCTCCTTACTTAAAATATCAACAGCTTAAATATAGCAGCAATGAAGGAGCTATATACTAGAACTCATACAAGAATGTAGCATCTAATCAATTTAGCAGGGTTGAAGATGTAACTAAGTCAAAACAATGTAAAGTCTCATTTACCACTGATTACTAACCTTAGCTTGCTTTAGCAGTCATGTGACGATTCAAGTACTTTTATTCAGTATAAAAATTCACTAAAATTGAAACATATAGTGGGTATGGACTCATAACTTTAAAAATATAATAAGTTCAATACTAAGAATTCGTAAAGGCTGAAGCCATAGAATTAAAATCCTGGATACGCCTCTGGTAGGCGTATGAGCTGGGCGGAGTGGTAGTGAAACTCCGGTGATAATGCATGTGTGCGGTGAACTAGTAGCCCCACGAGCAGACAGTAGCATGAACAAAGTTATTATTGCATTGAAGTTGTTATAGGAATACATAAACTTTAAATCCTGGATCCGCCTCTACTCACAACTGTGAAAAACAACAATTAGGTTATTTCTTGAGGACCAAAATGCATCTTTTCTCCAAGTTGTACTCTGTTGGCAAATTATAAATGATTGAACTGGACTCGCATGGTAAAATATGCTGACTTTAAATTTTTCACTCCAAGTAACCAAGTAGTCAATCATCATCAACAATGCATGTGGTCCTTATAGTTTAGAGATTTTTAGTGTATTGCCCCAATTGTTATTCTGTTTGCTATATTGACCCCTTTATGTACAAGTTCCTTCTCAGATTCGTCCTTTTTTGCAACTCCCTTCTTCTTTCACCATTATCTTAAAACGACAATACAACTTGAAAGAAGAAAAAAAGGGTAAAGAGCTATAATTTTTGAGGTGCAATCTATTTTATACACCATTTTCTCTAATATTAATTAAGAACCATCGTTTCTTCCATGAATTTTTTTTTGAGTAAACAAAAGTTGTCGAGAGAGAGGGAAAGTGACAACGAAAAAAATTAGTAAACTTTAATAAAGTATTTGATCTTGTGACAGGACTTTTTCATTTTTCACTTGATCTTTTATATATTTTTTTTTGGAGCAAAGTTCAATGTATAAAGAGAAAAATAGAGATTGTGAAAACTAAACTGGCAATTTTGAAACATTGGTATTTCCTCTTTCCCAATTTATTTGGAGGCATTTGGTGTATGCAAGTTAAAGTACTAATTTTTAGTGTAATCTTAGGTGTAGATTCTTCAAAACATTAAAAGATAAAAGTTATATATTTGAAAATTAGAAAGAAAAAAAAAACTATAAGTCAACATTGTTAATATTACAAAAATTTAAAATCTTGAGAAAGTCGTAATTAAAATTATTTGACTCCTCACCTAATAATACCTTTACATAAAAAAATACGAAAAGTTATATTTTCGTATAATGTTTAAATATACATAAAAGTAGCTTTGATCACATATATGTATTAAGAAAATGCATTAAATATCTAATTGTTATGAAACAATAAAAGAAGAAGAATAGTATTGCAGAGAAAAGTAGGGAGAGAGAATTCTTATTGATTTGGGATGAATTACAATGGAATAGAACCCCTATATTTATAGGGGAAATGTGACTTAGTCACCAAGTAACAAACCCTAAAATCTCTCTAAATATAGACATTCACCTTAAATATAATTCTATTTATAACACTCCCCCTTGAATGTCTATTCAACAGATAATGTGCCTCGTTAAAACCTTAATTAAAATAAAACCCAGTGGAAAAAAAAATTCTAGAGAAGGAAAAAGAGTATGCTTTTTGGTTGCCCCGTTAAAAACCTTGCAAGGAAAACCCAGTGGGACAAAACCTTGTAAGGGAAAAAGAGTACAACTTAACTCCCTCTGATGAGAGCATCAATTCACATCCTTGAGCCTTCACATTCCAATCTTGTGCACTAGCTTCTTGAAAGTTGACGTCGGCAAATATTTGATGAATAAAAATAGCCATATTAACTCCAATGAATATGTTGCACCTTGAAAATCCTCGCTATCACATTATCATGCTTATATTTATAGCAAGATACATATGTGCACAAATTGCACTTAGGATATGGTACTTCAGGACCAAGAATTGTATATGCTTTAAGCAATTTAAATCCTTCATGGATTGTCATATAAGTTAAGTCATATAAGCCATATAATAGACTTTAGATGCATATCAAGTTTTCATGTCATGCTAGACAAATAAGATATCGAAAACTGATTGCTCATATCATTGACTTTATACTTTCAACTGTTTGAACTACATGTCCAAAACTACATGTCTTTCATATGAAACCAATTCCATTTGAATTGTGTCTCTTCTATTTGGCCAATATATTTGTGTTTGTATTCGACAGACTTGAGGTCCTCATCTATACTTAGCGCTATGATAGATGTCGTCTACGAATATTTTATATCGGTCCCAACCTCCTTATTTTTCATAAAGACATAACATAGAGATCTCTTCATTCATATATTCAGGTACCTGAATCTCTCATGAGATTTTATGAAGTGTTATGTCATGTGATCTTCTAGATCATTTGCCTCCTTATTATGATCATTTTGATCATTTGCTCATATTCTTTATCAAGAAGTTTATTTGAAACCGATTTGTCTATATGCTTTAAGCGTACCATAGACTTTGCCCTTCTAGGACTTAATAGGAGCATTTGCAATGAGAATATAGTTACTTTCTTTGGGTCAGCAAATGCGTCCGGCATGCTTTGAATATATTGCAAATGAATTATCCTTTTATGAACTTCAAGTTCATATTATTTTATTCGAGGATCTAGATGTACACATGATAATTCATTCCATGTAACTTTTTCTCAACTGTTTATCATGTCTCCCCCTCATGTTAGAAAAACTAACTTGTTTCCTCAAATTTGAGAACTCATCTTTGTGCATTATGGTCTTACAAAATATACAATGCACATCAATAATAATAAGATGAAATTATTTGGTTCCTGACCCTGAACCACTTGTGAGGGGAGAAAATAATAAACTTTCGTATATAACGTATATCAAACTGATATATATAACTTTGTTCTCATAAGAAATAGTTTAGCTATTAAGTGGAGGCACTCAATAAATTATTTTGCTAAACCAACTGTGATACAAACCAACTTATCAAGATGAACTATCTTGAGTAAAAAATCTGAAAATTATGCTCTAAATCAAATTATTGAGCAAGTTACCTCGCAAACACCATGTTGCGGGGTAATAATAATCGCACATGTAACCATCTCATAGATGCATCTTATGTGGTATACATGGCAGGTGCATGGGTCCATATTCACCTTTGATATTTCCAGAATTCATGGGATTCAATCCCAATTTTAGTTGGTATATTAATTAATGAGAACAAGTAACATAAGAGAATTTGTAAAGAACTTTCTAGTTCTTTAATATTTACCCACGTGAATTCTCTTTTATTTTTGCACATCATACCTAAATTAACATGGTTAAACCAATTATGCCAACTGAATAAATTATCAATATCAATAAACTTCAGGTTTACGCCATGACGTGTGAAATTATCAATAAACTCCAAGTTTATTATGATATGAGTTTTTATATCAAGAAACATTCACTTTATTGTGGCATTTTTTTTCTTTGTGTAGTACAAACTGAAGAATAAAGCGGGTAACTTTGCACATAAATATGACCCCGTTACAAGTTGTAGTAATAGAAGATATTAAATCATTCCTTTATTACAGTCTCAATATAACCAATCGCTTTCGCGAATATTTTAGAAACTCAATAAGTTTCTTTGAGACTTACTACAACACAATGCCTCATTGATAATTAATTGTATTCCTCCAAAATATTAATAATTGGCTCTTCCAGAGCTCTCAATTAATTTGGTACTACCACATATTCATCAATATTCATATGGTGAATATCTCTTTTAAAGAGAAAGTTATACCGTTATGGTTATGGTCAAAATTATATGCAAGATATGTTTCTTGCATTAATGTTATTCTTTAATAATCACATTACCAAAATACTTTGGCATGCAATAGGTACGTGACCAATGACCATTCATGCCATAATAATGACATTATTTTCTTATATCATCTCAAACCTCCTTCTAGAGGTGAGTGTGGTATATTCACTACCACTAGCACGTTCATATTCTTCCAAGAATGAATATGTATTCATAAATCAGACGTTGTCACATTCACATCATGAATGAACCATAATCATCTATATGTGCTTTATAAAATCTCATGTCAAATCGAAGACAAATATTACTTTCACAGAGTGAAGGATTATTTTGAGAATCCTTATTGTTCTCACTACCACAATTATGACGATTATAATTTCGTCTATTGTCACGCTCACATTCATTGATACATTCATACAATAATTTTATCTTCTTTCAGATTTATCACATACTGCTATCACATTCTCTTAAGGGAATGAGAACGAAGCAAATTCAATGGGACGGGTTTCCACTTCTTTGCCCACAATCGTACATGAATTTGATCATGACAAGGCATAAAAATTTTACCACTTTGGGTGGTTATAATTTCTTTCGAACTCCATTAGAGTTACAATCAAAATTTATCGTCTTTGCTTGTATTTAAAATCAAATTATAATGTCAAGAATTTAAAAGAGAAAAATAAAGTAAAATACTTACCTTAAATCCAGATT